GGTGGTTGGGCATACGCAACACATGTCCCAACCACCTCAACTGATGAAGTTTCACCACTTCATCTATTGATCTGCCATTCTTACCTAGCACCCGATTCCTAATAACAGCGTTGCTCACCCGGGTGTCCCACGATATATGAGCAATGCTTCGAAGACACCTATGATCGAAAACCAGTAACCTACGAATATCTTCTACTCTCACTGGCCATGTTTCACAGCCATAAAGTAAGACGGAGCGAACTACTGCGCAGTACACTCGTCCTTTAGTAAACAAACCGATATCTCGCCTACGCCATAAGTGACGCAGGTTGGCAAAAGTCAATCGAGCCTTCTGTATCACTGCTGAGATTTCGTCAGTCACCAGGCCATCAGCACTGATGAGACTCCCAAGATAAGTGAAGCGGTCTACACGTCCGACTACTTCACTCCCCATCACTAGTTCAGGTGCCGATGAAACCCAATCTTGAAGCAACATTTTGCATATCGACGGGGAAAACCGCATCCCAAACATGCTGGCATTGTTGCTTAGGGTAGTCAGAAGAATCTGCATTTTGTCAGCGTCTTCACGAAGTAGAAGTATGTCATCGGCATATTCTAAGTCAATAAGCGAGCCACCTGGTAGAAGGTCTACTCCTGAAAATTCAGACGAGGATAAAGTTATTTCTAGGAGCATGTCTATGATAAAATTAAACAAGAATGGAGAAAGTGGACATCCCTGACGGACACCACCTGAAGTGAAGAGTTCCGGTGACAGTTCGCCATAAGCTCTCACTCGACTAGTGGTGTTCGAGTAGAGAAGTGGTATGAGGTTAATGTACTTCTTTGGTACACCTTTCAATGACAGACACTGCCACAGAACCTCACGATCCACAGAGTCAAATGCCGCTTTTAGGTCCAGGAAAACAACTATTGTATGACGCCTAAATATATGTCTGTGTTCCAGGACCTGTCGTAGTGTGAAAATTTGGTCTATACAGCCACGTCCAGGTCGAAAACCAGATTGGTTTTCTCGAGTTTGCTCTTCACGAACTTTCGTTAAGCGCCGAAGTATTATTGAGTCCAATAATTTAGAAACTATATTAGTTAGACTTATTCCCCTGTGATTGTCACAGGAAGACTTTTGTTCTTTCTTTTAGATTGGGACAATCAGTGATTGAGACCAGTCGGATGGGATTACGTCCAGTTCCCAGATTCTCCCCAAGATCTCAGTCAACCTAGCAGATAAAACTGGACCACCATCCTTAAATATCTCAGGGGTCAGTCTATCAGGACCTTCAGCTCGCCCTCGCTTCAGATTTCCTAACGCTTTCTCAACTTCATTAAGACTAGGGGGACTTACGTCGATTTGCCATTCAGGATGACTGGAGATCGTGGGTAACCGAAGAGTGGCTCGAGGCCAGTTGAACTGATCCCTAAAGTGTTCTGCCCATCGATCCAGTCTCCTGGATTGAGAATGGGTAATAGTCCCGTCATTTTCTGAGATAGTCTCACTTACACTAGGATTCCTAATACCAGTTTCCTTGATAAGTCGGAAAAGTTGTCTACTGTTGCCGATCGCCGCTGCCTTTTCCATCTCTCTTGCTTTCGCCACCCATCACTGTTCGCGATCGTTACGTAGACTTTTTATTAGTCTGCGTCTTAGTTGACTTCGTTCTTCGTCATGTTCAGAGCCAGTTGAGATGAGTTTGCGAGCATCCATCAGTTCGGCAGAAGCTACTGAGATCCACGGCTTCATCTTAGCCTTATGGTTAACCTTACTAGCAGATATCACTGCTGTTTCCACAGCCTTTTTGACATAATTCCAACCTGCTTCCGGATGGGAATCGCTTAAATGGTCGCCTAACTGTCTTTCTAATTGTTCCTGAAATATATTCTTCGCCTTATTATCATTAAGTAAAACCCTAAGAGGCTTTCTTACGGTGTCTTTCCTACGCCCAGTAAGCTTCAAACAAATACGCTCTCGCACTAGGGCATGATCTGAATCTAGACATGTGCCCCAGAACAAGCGACAGTCTTATACCGAACCCCTCCATCGGTGGCTGATGGCGATGTGATCTAGTTGCGTCCAACGTTGAGACGACTTTGGAGGTCGCCAGGTCAACAGATGCTTTTCCTTATGCCTAAAGATAGTGTTTGCTAAGAATAGGCGGTTGTCTGATCATACTTGCAACAGACGGTCACCATTTTCTGTTCTCTGAGCCGCGACACCATAACATCCACGTAAGTGTCTTTCATTTTCACTCAATCTACCTACTTGAGCATTGAAGTCACCAGCCATTAATACTATATCAGAGCGCCTAGCTTTTTGGAAGAGGTCCGAAAGCTTTCTGTAAAACTCATCTTTAACCTCGTCTGAACTGCAGTCAGTGGGGGCATATGCAGATAAGATGAAGAGGCAGCGGCGATTTTCCCTATCTTTCCGAGTCCTTACTGTCCCATTTAGTCGGACAGCGCACAAGCGACTATCTACTGGGATCTAGTCAAGGAGAGATAGTTCTGCCCTAGGACTCAACGCTATGCCTACGCCAGCAAGACCCCGGGAAGCAGCATCAGGGCTACCGGATACACGAAGAGTAAATCGAGCTGCTTCTTTATTTTGACAAGGTGAAATCAGATTAATAATTTTGCTAGGATCCTGTATGCGCGTTTCCGAGACGCAGCACACATCGATGGCACGAGTTTCTAAAGTCCTAGCTAATGATGCCTGTTGCCCTATTTGACACAATGTCCGTATATTAAAAGCTCCAAAATGTAGTCTAGAGCGGGGTTTAAGGAGACCAGGAATGACGTTTCGCGAACTCGTGTCGTCTGCATTAGCTGTGCACTGTGATAAATGAATGTGAGAAGAGTTAGTCGTGGAGATAAGAGAAGTACTAGAGGGTGTAGGAAGGATTTGATTTTGACCAATTTGGTCTCGCGTGCTGTTACGGGTATGAGGGCGGCTGTCACTTCCCGGCTGCCCACACCGTGGAAGGTTGTTTCTTGAGGAACCTGAAAAGGAAAATAGATTAGTGTTGGTCTTAGAGACCTGGGTGCGTGACCGCAGAGCCCAGCGGACAACTGCTTGAGGCCGCTCACGCACGGCCTTTTTATGAAAGGTCTTTTGAGAATTAGCTCCGTTCTTAAAGGCCCTTAGTGGGCACCCTTACCCAAGGAGACGGAAATCCGTGAGGTAGGGGAGGTGTGACATTTTTAGGGCCGACCTTTTCTAACCCTTCCTTCCTTGTGAGAAGGCAGCATCGCTGCACATGCTGGTTGTCAGAGGGAAACACCTTACTGCTGTCACACCCCTCTGCAGTCAGCAGTACGACTTCGCCCTCAGACCTTGGGTAGCTGCTTTTAGTCTCATCGTTCTCCAATCGACCTGCCTGGCATGGTAGGACCTGCAGGAACATATGTTTCAGCCAGTATAGCTCGGTTGGGTCATCACGATAGGCAAGCCCGACCACCACGTCAAGGTAGCAACTACGGTCGGGTAACACTCATTTTAATGATATGACAAATAATTACTAGTTTATCATCACCTAAATAAAAATTTATCAATGAAGATCCGGAAGCCAATAGAAACATCACTATCAAACACAATCAGAAAAATTAGCTAGAAGAAAAATTTCAATTATTCAGGTTTTAGTTACACCATGGACAACCTTAGGACGAGAAAAGTATGTTTTACAAGTAAAAGAATGCGAATAACGCTACACTGAGGAGGAGAATAGAAGCAAAACTACTTTGTTCAAATTTATTTGCATATTTATTGTAATTAGTTGTTATCAATGATAAAATAATAAAACAATGAACCACATTCATATCAAAAAATTATGTATGCGTCCACAGAAATATTAAATAGCAACAATAAAAACTGTCATAAATTTCAAGAATTCTTCACCGAAATCGGCATAGAAATCACTTTCGTTTGTAGGTAACCATCCAGTGCTTCTTTTCCACTGAAATTATCCAAAACAAATAAGTGATAGAACATTAGTTAGTAAGTTTTTTTTTCAATTAAGTTATTCATTAGAAATTGAAAGGGTCTACCTTTTGCAGCTACATTCAATCGGTTATGTAAAACAACCATCATACAAATTATCAAACCAAATATCATCTGCAAAATAAATTGCTCAAACTGTGAAAAACACCACAGCACAAAGTGGACGACCGCTTCAGCTGCGTTTACGTGAACATCAATTAGCAGTCAAACGCCACGACAACGATTCGCTTATATCAATGCACACATGGACATTTATGGACATACATTTAATTGGAACAATGTGGAAATAATGGGTAGGGGGAGGACAAAGAACACGAGAGAATTTTTAGAAGCTTGGCACTCAGGTCAATCAGCATTCAACAAACACACCGACATTGATCCAATTTATCAACCAATCAAGAAAATAATAGGTGACACAGGATCAAGAAACAGATCAAAAGGGGGATGCAATCAAAACAATGTTGCAAACAACGACAGGTCAAAGGCCAACAGCAACAAATCAAGATCGAGGTTAGCAGAACAAGCTACAGGTCAAACGTGGAAAAATTCGAATGCTTCACTTCTATCTGAAGTTTGTGCTGATGATGTTGTTCAGAAGAACAATGAAAGCTCCACAACCAAAACAACCAGCTCAGAGGACGAAACACCACCACAGATAAGTACTTCGACCACACAATCGGAATAATTAACTTCACACTTCATCGATTATCATCATCATAAGAACTCAGAGATATTCAACTCAAAATTACTTATTGGGGATTGATTTGAACGTCAAATGTATGGGGTTGTAAGTATGAACAGTTGAAATGTCTTGAGCTTATGGAAAACAGTTGTAGATGTCAATGGCGGTTAAAACTATCAAACTAAACAAGTGTTCACAATCCATTTCATTAAAAACAATACGCTTATTCATAGATTTCCTTAAATTGCTTATGATATTACTTTCATGATGATACAGTTCAAATCAGTAGAAATGTGGTGCGAGCTACTTATAAGTAGTATATGACATGAGTGTCAACGTAATGTCTGGCAGCATAATATGGGGGAAGATCAAGAAAGGAAGAGTTAGAAAACAATGGAATTTGTATGAAACGCATGAATAGTGACAATGGATTGATGTTTTGCAACAGGAACAGTCCAGTTCGATATGGACTGATATTTTGCAAATAAACAATTTACGATATGGTTTTCCAATTTTACTGAGTAACAATTCGGTTGCCCCACCTGTGTTCTCTTTCACTACAGTAGTCTTATTGAAATAGAAAGAACACAGAGATTAATAACCCAATTGAATTCTACCGTCATGTGGCCACCATGATCCCAATAGCTCAAGTGATTTGTGTTAGTGCAGGTAAAATGTGACTGGTCATTGAGCATGGACAAACAGGGACCTAGTCTACTGACTACTAAATAGATGATCTCTTATCTAACATTACAGAAAAACAAGTTTTAAAATTGTCTATGGACAATTTCCATTAGAAAAAAAGCAAAAAAGCAAGAAAGAACCATCATGGCTAGTTATACTTAGGTAACTTCAAGAGTCACAAAATAAGATTAGTTAAATGTTGTGAAACATTTTGCACAGTCTTTCCTGATGTGCATGACCTATCTATCTATCTATCTACAAGCAGTAGTTCAATATATCTGTCGTCAATTGATTGTTGTTAATGTATGGCTTGAATAACATTCCTCTTCAAAATCATGTCAATTTTATGCAAGTCAGTGAAATAGTGACAAGATTTGAATATTTTAGTTAGTTCATCATCTTACAAATATGAAAAAGTATTCGATAATTAATGCCGATTTGCAAATAAAATCCTGATTATTGGTGATCATGTTGAAATATGATCTATTTTTAAATGTATTTCCATTGTGAAAAAGTTACTGAATTTGATAGAAATAATTTCAAGTATGATCAAGTACTAAGAAGATACATAAATGAAAAATATCAAAATATAAAAAATACTTACAATTCACGACCCATTCCAGACATTTTAAAACCACCGAAAGGAGTTTGAGGCGAAATAATATTATAACTATTGATCCTGTGACACAAAAAAATGAAGAATTCAAATCACATGTACAATATGTAATTATTTAAATTATTGCATAATGAATGGTTTGTTTTAACAAAGTAAACTTAAATAAATCAACTTGATCTAAATAGATAAATAAAAAATCTCTAATAGATATAAAATCAATTCACAGCAAGTTGATGGCCAATAGTCTTTTTTTCTTTGAGTTTTTATCTATCCTAAATAATCCACATGAATCTTGGTTCATAATTATCTGGACCACACCGCTTCATACTACATACATATTATATCCATGCAACGACATTATTACTAGTATTATTATTATTATTATTATTATTATTATCTCCACTGTCGAAACGAAATTATTGTATGATGAATTTTATCCGCATCATTTATTTTGAATCATCTTGTCGGCGTCGATTACGTAACTTTTCGAATTTATACCGTAATAATTGCGAAATTTCACCATATAACATTGTCTAATTTATCAATGCATGTGTAATTTCGGCCTTTGTTAAATAAACACAATAATTATAGACTTAAAACTACTACTACTACTACTATAGAACCTGATAACGATGTTATTCGAAAACAACTGTTCGCTCGATTATTCTTTGCTTTGAATATTCATTCTATGGGGATTTTTAAATTTTCATTAGTTGACTCGGAAACACACTAACAACAAAACCACCACATGGGCAACAGAGGAATTCACTAACCAGGTTCATGCTTTTACATCATACTGTTTGTGAACAGTAACACACACAAAAATGACATAGGATCGACAGGATAAGTGTTCAAATAGTTTAACACCAACAACTGTCTAAAATGTTTCAGGACAGAAATCTGAACTAACAGAAGTTACTCTTCTCATCAAGTGGAACTGATCAGATATAAGGGAGGTCTTTTAGAGAGGAACCAAAATCAGGATTTCCAATACAAATCTCCTGTATGGAGAGGAAACCTGGAGAACTACGAAAGCCATCATCCAGAAGATACAAGTGTTTATTAACAGTTGTCTACGTAAAATACTTCGTATTCGTTGGCCAGACACCATCAGCAACAACGTACTGTGGGAGAGAACAAACCAGATTCTAGTGGAGGATGAAATCAGGAAGAAGCGGTGGAAGTGGATAGGACACACACTACGAAAAGCGCCTAACTGCGTCACGAGACAAGCCCTCACATGGAACCCTCAAGGAAAAAGGAAAAGAGGAAGGCCAAGGAACACATTACGCCGAGAAACAGAGAAATACATGAGAAGAATGAACAAAAATTGAACAGAATTGCAAAGGGAAGCCCAGGACAGAGTTGGTTGGAGAAAACTGGTGGGCGGCCTATGCTCCATTGGGGGTAAAAGGCGTAAGTAAGTAAGTAAGTTTAGAGAGGAACATTGAACACTGCAATCTCATCAGTTACATTACATGATGTGTATATAATGAGAACTGATGCTCTGTCTAATTATCATTCATAATTTCAAAGCGAAAACAATCTATAACTTCGAAAAGTTGCATGACAAATTAAATTTACGAATTCGAAAGGAAACACTGACCAATCTTGTTTTATCATGATGACCTTAATTATTTTGTGAGTTTACTAGGTAAGACTGCTTCTACTTTTTTTTTGTTTCTATAATCTTTAATTAAAATTCTACCACTTTAATTCTGAATTCTAGTCAACTATTCTATACTATGAAATCTAATTTCTGGTTCAAAAAAATGTGTTTTATTTTAATCGATATATCTCTGATATCTCTGGTTTTAATTTATACTTCAACTCATATAATATTACTTCTTACTGCGTAAACAAGTATGCACTAACAAGTAGAAATTCCTAATATTTTTCTGTTTTGTTTTACAATCTGAAATAAACTTACCAAAAACTGCCAGCTTCTACACATTGAGCAACTCGCATTGCTTTATCCATATCACTTGTGAATACACCAGCACCTAATCCATAATGTGTGGCATTAGCACGTTCAAATACTTCGTCTAATGTATCAAATTTTAAAATACATTGAACTGGACCAAAGATCTCTTCCTTTGCTATACACATTTCATCAGTTACATTTGCAAACACTGTTGGTTGAATAAAATAACCTTTCTCTCCTATTCGATATCCTCCAGTAACTAATCGAGCACCTTGTTTTTTGCCTTTATCAATGTATGACATAATTTTGTCAAATTGTATATTATCAATCTGTTTTTAATATTGAAATGGAAGAAATGATATTTGCACATCAGTTTACTGATACGAATTCATGTCAAACATTAAATAAAAGAGATATTTGCATAACAATTCATTCAAGTGAACTAGTACCACCAAAATTAAAACTAATGATGATAACTAGGTATCAATTCACGTAGATCTAACCTAGTAATATTTAAAAAATGATTTTTTGCTTTGATTTGTAACTATGAGTTCGAGGTCATTTTGATATGAGTCTTGTAACAACATATTGCACGTTTTATGTGTTTGTGTATTTGTATTACACAGCATTTTTTTTAAAAAAATTAATTAACATAACATGGATGAATGGAAGTAATGAGTTCAATGATTGTATATTGGGTAATCATTTAAATTGATTAGTCTATTGTAATATTGGTATGTGATCTAGGAATTCTGATTGAGCTATACCTATTTTAGATTAAATTCAGCTCCAAAGTTCAAAAGGTGTTATTTGTCTACAAATTATAATACCAAATGGGTTAAGTTTTGCTTCAAGATAATGTTGATTTGTCTCTCGTATCAAATAATTGATGCTACCAATTTTACTCTATGGTAGCAACAATAATCAATAGTTATTATTTCAAACATTCTAAACACCATACAAATATACGTTTACTGCTCATTTTGCGCGATAACATAAAAGTTATTCTGTTAGTGAGACATATATGGATTATAGCATGACTGCGTCAGCTGCGCGCTGACTGGCTAATTTCCTATCCAATCAGCTCCTGGTCGATACTTGGAGAGCGGGCTAGAAAATTCTCGTATTGTTAGCTGCACGCTGATTGGCCAAATCTAATCCGGTTAGCGCTAGTCGATCACGTGAATTTGATTCCAGAAGCTTCTAATGTAAAAATTATAAAGATACTAACTTCATTTCTATTTCGCCTTCGCTTCGGCTTCTTAGTTCCACTTAACCTTGCTATTCAGGATATAATCTTTTTCCTGTTCCATCGTATTCTGATTTGGGGACTTGTCGAGTGTATTGAGGTCAGAGAATACTAAGCAATAGGAACAGTGGGGTTATACTGAGAGACCGTTATAACTCATTCACAATATAATTTTTGTGTCAAACCGTCGATAATAATACTTATATCCAGTTATTGGCTACAAATCTAATGATTAGGTTTTTAATCACATCGGGTCTATTCTCAGTCATTGACATTGTGACCATTCTCATCCCGGAGTAATGATTTGAATAATCCCACATGTTACTACTATTATTTCGCTTTCGAAATCTACGAAATCCAACTCTTAAGCAACTCGTTAGCGATTAAGGAGATTATTCTTCAAGTACGTTGTGTGGATACACTTGTCGGTTTATATCCCCTTTATTTGATCTAAAATAAAAGCATAATCCCATCTATTAGAGTAAAAAATATTAGTCAAAAATATCCAAACTGATTATGAGCACTAATCCACACGAGATAAATCAATCATTGATTCGACTGACTGACAGAGCACTTCAAATGTATATTCAATCAAAAAACTAAATAACATTACAATTGTTCAATCGTAGGTTAGCCGGTTTAGAATAAGAGATAAGTTATAATTGAGTCTGATGATTTTTTTCTTTAAGGTTTCGTATGATTTTTAAGGGAATACTTAGGTACTAACGGTAACTGGAAAGTTACTGAGAACCACATAAATCCATTTACACTTTCATGTGAGAGCTGACTCATAACAGTATTTAAGTTGCATGCCGATTATCTACAGGTGAAGTGAGGTCAATATTTTTCAATCTATAAGAGATCTCAACGAAACCACTTGATACAACAATAATTGTAGGATCATCAGTCGACGAGATATATCTGTTCTGATTTAGAAGAAATGATATGAGTAGTGAGCAGTGACCAGTAAATTGTACGAAAACCACACTATACGACCAAATTTATCTAAATTGAAAATGTA